ACGAAATGAATGATATTCTCGTTGTGTTACTCTTTTGTTTTAATCACGGGCGTTTCCCGTAAATAAATATATGCACGTTCGTGCGTAGAGATAGAGGAAAACGTTAGCATTAAATTATATTTTATCGACGACGTGCGGTGTTGCGTTCAGAGAGCCGAATAGGGCGCTATCGGCTCGCCGGGATATCTCGTTTAAACGAACGAACAACGTTGCGACGGTGCGAGATAACTGTTTTACGCGCCAGGAGGTTAATCGTTTTATTAATGCAAATAATTCGACTTTGGTACTCCAGGCGGAGGAGGGGAGGGGGAGGGAGTCGAGATTTGGTCGATCGAAAAACATCTACGCGACCAAATTGATTTACGGCGTATTAACCACGGTATTTCGGGTAATCCATTTATCTCGTACAACACTTGCCGTGCCGCGTGATTTATCGCTCCCGCAGAACGTTGCGTGGAACGGTGACTATATCAGGATAGTTCGGTTCATTCATACGGAATATTACGTATACACCGCAAGTGAAAGACGAGTGATCACGGCCAGCTGACAGAGTCGATTGTGAATTTTCGGAGTAGAAAGTGCCTCTCGACGAATTAGAGGGATTCGTATTTAATTTCCCGAGGCTTTTTATTGATATACATTTTCTCGTTGCTCCCGTTCTTCTCGCTTTCTCTTTCTTCCTCTCTCGCGACTTACTCCCGCTCCGCTGTGGTGTGTGTGTAATTCCATTCCCAATAATATTCAATATACAAGTCCCGAAAGCTCCGAAAAGCAACCTAAATATCATGCTACATGGCGAAATGCACAACGTATTCGGGCTTTTTTGTTCCGGTAAGCAGAGCCGCCAATATGCTGCTCCTGCTTATTTCTCTCTGCTGAAAAAAGAGAAGGTTCGCGAAAAAAGAGCGCTCCACATGAAACGCTGCTGAGTATTACCGGAGCACACAACAACACGAGCAAATATTTCCTGCTTATTAAGCCGGAATATTGAGTTTCCTGTCCGGAGGGTCTGATAACTTTCCGGTTATTTCGTTTGCTCGACAAAAAGATGAAAACGCGATATGCGTGATTTGGTTTCGTCTAGTATCTCTAGTATTATTCGGACTTACTTGGCCGTGAATATTCATTACTTTTTTGCACGAATACTCATCATCTTTACCGCAACGATGATTACAGCCTGCGATTTCTCCGGCTGGATTATAAGCGCGCGCGCGCGGGTTGGAAATATGAAATGACGGCAAAGTGCCGGGATACAATATTACTTTTTTCCTCCACCTACCGTCGTTTCCTTTAATTTCTCAAAAGGCTCACATCAATTCGCCACAACAATCGCGGAAACGCGTTCTCCCCCGCCTGTGTTTCCCCTCATAATGGAAAAAGCTTCGTTATTCTTAAGTCCATTCGGGCAAAGTTTGGCAATAAGACTACGGTTACTACGGAAAGCGTGTGTAATTTGCGGGATCGCGCAAAACGTAATGGTAAACTTAAGCGAAATTTCCCTGGCCGGGGCAAGGGGAGGCCCGTGCCTTCCAAGTTAAAGGCTCGTGAAACTTTCGGAAGTGCATAATACAAAGGTACGGGAAAACAGTAGGGATGTGGATTCTTGCCAGTCCAAGGGGTGTTCGAAATTTCTTCAGGGAAGAAACTTATGCCGATCGCGCCCTTGACATTTTTTCATCCGCGAAGTTTTCGAGAGCAGTGAGATACACCGCCAACTTTCTCCGTTTTGTATCGTTTTACAGGGCCCCTTAACTGTCATTACCGGCTCAAACTCTCTCTTGTGCTTCGACGTAGTCAGATAGAAATAAAAAGAACGAAAATTCGGTTTTGTCCACAGCGCGCGATTTTCGCGATTGCACGAGAACGATCGTCGAGGATTGTTTCGAGTGTCGCATCAATTACCAATCACATGTTACTAACGAGATATTAATCTCATTTAAATATAAATACATAATATCAAAAGAGGATAAAATAAATATGATTGTAATAGTTTAGCTGTGTGAAGAAATATCTTTTCGTAAAATTGATTATGAATCGCTCGGCGGGTTTTCTTTTCTTTTTTTTTTTTGCGAAAATCGGTGCCATCATCGTGTCCGTTTGCTGTCAATGACCTGTTCGTACACTGAGGGGATTCACAGTAGCTTCTCGAGGCACGTAATTAAAGCTCTTTATCTTAATGACTGTTATAACAGCGGATAATCGTCCGACGTTTTATATCTATAAATATTGGCTGATCAGACTTTAATTGGGATCTACAGAAAACGAGATCGCGTATATTGCGCGTATACCACGCTTCGTATCCGTTCATGCGATATATCCGATTATATCGCATGTCGGCCGATCATGCTTCTCTAAAAGTTAAATATGCATCTTCCCGACGATGCGACTCTTTTCTCGTTGTTCCAAAAAATAAATTGCTCTGCGCCCCACTCTTAAAATGAATTTCAATCTCACACCGAGCACTATTTGTTACGCAGCATTTCTCCACCTTTATCCACACTATATGCGCCAAGGCGTAATGCTATATTTTATAATTTACGAATTGAAAGCGCGCGAGCAGAAGAAGCGCGACGGCTCTTTCGTATAATTAATTAAGTGGCATGCGTTAGTAGGATTACGCTACGCTCCATAGTATTACGCTTATAATCTCGCATGCGAGGCGCTTCCGTTGGCGTAGCGAAAATTCCTGATGACATTTGCAAATGAAATCAGGCCATTAAGGTACTGTCTCTTCCATCTCGGTTCCGCGCTATTTCCACCAAGACAATGCGACGTTACTTCCGGCTCGTCCGCATTCCGCGGTTATCTCGCAGACGGATGACAGTGATATCGCCGCTGCCCCGCGATTAATCTGCATACTCGTCTCGGTAGCTATTTGCTCACAGGAGCGGCGCCAAGAAATACGAAAGCACACGCGCGCGCAATCTTGTTAAATTAGCAACCCGAATCGAAATTTGACTCTACATTAATTAATTCTGCAAATATTATCGAATTTGGAGGATCAATGGAGAATTTCGAAATACGATACCTACATTGGCCATTGTCCTATCTTGATGCTGCAAATCGTTTTTCTCCACGTTGAGGCTTGAAGAGGCATTTATTCAAGAATTATTTAACATTCGATTTTATCTCAACATTCAATCTACATTTTTCAATCTTTCTTCCAAATTTCAATAAATATTGTGTGAATTACGTAATTGACTCACCTGTATATGGAATACGATAAGTAAATATTGAATAATATAATCTAATACATAAATAAGATACTAAACTCCCTTTATAATCTTTTTCTTATTGATTATTTTTTATTGGCGTTGGAAATTTTTATATGATTTAGAGATGAAGAGGAAGAAATCACAAGGGCTTAGATTTATAGACTCCCCCTATTTCCACCAAGACAATGCGACGTTACTTCCGGCTCGTCCGCATTCCGCGGTTATCTCGCAATATATATTCTCAATCGTAACTCGTCGTTAACTCTATATGATGAATTGCATTTATGATCTTCGATGGAAAGAATAATTGATTATAGATTCGTATTAGACCGTAATTTGGATGTATGGATCGAAATCTCTTGTTGTACGAAATAAATGTAGATGGACAAACAACCAGAGGTTTATGAAGTTATGATTATTTATCAAATGATGACAAACTATGAAAGCTGATCTCACAGTTGATTCTAAATTTCGACTCGGTTGTCGGCTAATTCTCGTTCTAAGTTCGTTAAACGTTCAGTACAAAAACAAGATTTTTACAGTAAAGGTTTGACATACCTGGAAATATATGATATATCGTTGCTCGCATCCCGGCGACCTTCGTCCTGGCTGCTCAATTCAGCATTCTGTCCTGGCTGCTTCGTGGTTTCGGACATTCACTGATATTCACAGATATACGATTCGATCGGAGAAATGTGCGTTAACTAACACAATGCCAACGAATACCCGATCAAATATTTCAATAGCCGACGAAATATTTTGATCGCCCGGCGGGAAATGTAAACAACGCACGATTACACATACTCCGCGTTGCTGTATGTATGTGTATGTCGCATGTCGGCTCGAGACACGGGCAAGTACGTGAGAGTACCAAAACAATTGGCACCTTCACCAATTCCCCTCGTCTCTACCCTTCACTAATCGCGAACCGTTATCGCCCGCCAATCAATGACGAAAATCTCCGAAGACCGAGAAATCATGACAATAACGTTCTCAAAATATTTCGTACTTACGAGATGGTCAAATTATCGAATAATCAAATTACCAATTATACATCAGAACGATTGTACGTACGATATGGCAGACGTGTCACTTGTAGCATTCGACGATCGTCAATTAACATGCGATCGTTAATTAACGCTGCATGTACAATCGAATCATATTTTCGTGTGATACCATTGACTATCTGTCCACAGTAACGACTAGAAGCTGACTCTAGGACAGATTAGAATACGCAAAGTGCAAGAACAAGGTATACACATCCTTCTTTTTCATTTTCTTTAAATCTTCCAATCTTTTCGAAATTTCTAATGTCGGTAAAAAAGAAATAGAGATTATAAAGAAAGAAATTATTTTTTATTTGTCCATTTACCTATTATTCTTTAGATTATTTAATATTTACTATTTATTAGATTATTTAATATTTAATATTTGTCGCAATAGTATATCTGCAATTGACAGTATAAGTTATATATAATTAATATATATATTGCAGGTTGAAATTAATAATTAAAAAAGATTCAATGCAGGTAGATTTCAAAATAATCGAACATTAAATAATTCTGAAATAAGTCTTTCTTTTCAAGCTTCAAAATGGCAATAAATAACTATCCGTAGTTTCAAAAAACGATAACTCATGTAATGCTATATGTAATATACTTCAAGATTTCCCGATTAATGTAGAACCAAATTTAACTTAGGTTGACAGTTTCAACAGGATTTCCAAAGGATATCCTCGAATAGGAAAGTTCACAATAGGAGGTAGGTTGAAAGTTCTGCGAGAAGTTCGAGACATCGAAGCACAATTGAATACTTTTATTCCGGATATATACGAATATAAGAATCGAAATTTTCAGTAACATATTCGGAACACGATTGACAAAATTGGAATTCTCGGTGTCTCCATCCTCCGCACGGATTTTTAATCTGACAAAGTCTGCGTGTCCTTCCTAAACATTCAGTCTTGCTTTTAATTATACTCCGCGGCTGCGCCAACTTGCACACGCTAGCGATAATCAACACGGATTATCGAATTCCTTGGCGCATAATGTGTCGAGATGATCTTAGAGGTCTGGAGTTATAATTTCCATATTCGTCGCAGCGCGAGGTCTGTTCCTCCTACGATAAGACGAAAGGCATTTCTCTCTCTATCCTCCCCTCTCTCTCTCTCTCTCTCTCTCTCTCTCTCTCTCTCTTTTCCTCTCTCTTTCACGTACCTCGCGCGCTGGTTGTGCCGAGAGCACGTCTCGCTGTGACATTTGCAAATGATGTTAGATCGTATTAGCGTGCCATCTTCCATTTACGTGCCACTTTGCGAGAGAGACAGACGGTGTGTGGAAGAAAGAGAGGAGGGAGGGAAAGAGAGAGAGAGAGAGAGAGAGAGAAATATCGAGTCCTGTTCCTGCTCCTTGTGTGCTTCGCGCAGCCAAGCGGAGTCGAGTCGTGTCGAGTGGAGTAGAGAGTCGCTCCTAAACTAGTTCTAAGTTAATCGGTGACGGCGTTACCATTATGGTGTAGGATTGCGAGGACGCAAGAGGACCAGGGACCTCCTGGAAAGATGGTCTAGCGGACGAGCCACGGGAAAAGGGATGATTTGCATTTTAATTGCACCGACAATCTTCTTTGCCGTCCTCGTCGCTGACACGTCCGTACCGCGCTTACGATCCGACTGGCTTTTCCCAGAATTGCGCGCCTCGAAATTGTACATAGCGTAGCTCGCTTTTTATATCCGAGATTAATTAATATTTGGGTCGGCCCGTTCCGCGAGATAAATGGCCGTGTGATTCAATAACGCGCGGCCTCAAAAGATTCTAGTTACGTACGTTATTAAAGATTCATTTGTGACGAACGTGTCCGTCGCGCGTCGCCTTGTCGGACACGGGAATAAAATTAAAACGATTGCGAGAATCGTGCAAAATTCACATTCCGCGCGGTTATTACTTTAAATGTAGTGGAAAAACGACCGTCTAATTTTCGGTTATATCCTAAAGTAACAATTAAGGTCGCGAGATAATTCCTAACAACTGTGACGTGTTGCAATTAAGACTCCACTTTTTCCCCCTGGTAATATGTATAATATCTCATTTTAATTACATATTTTTTTCTATTATGTTTCCCATTTCTCCACTCGTACTCCCCCTCTTCTCACTTTTACGTAACTCAACGACGAATAGAAAAGCGTGGAAGTTTCGAGGAGAGATAATCGCGAACTTTGCTGCTGAGTTTCACTTGTATCCCTTGGCTCATTAATAAATTTCGCGCAAGCGAATAATCGATGTTCCGCAGAGTTATGGAGATGGCGATATTGTTTGTTCACATCATCATCCGATAACCATTGGTAGATAATTTTAAATAATATAAACCCTTTTATCAAACGGCTCGGCTAATTGTATTAACACGTATAAATTAGTTATCAAAATATACAAGAATATACTAGTATACGGCACGCGGTTACTTTATATACATCTGTTTTCTCGTCGTCATTATTTTAAACATTAACCCGACTACGTAAATGCGTGGAATACTCATTGCCAATCACCATTTGTTGTAATTCATCATTTCCGTGTACAAATTAAAATATCGAAAGTGCGAACAATTATATGACAGTTAATGAACGACTAATAATAATACTTTTCACTTCGTATACGACGTTTCGTTGAATCCTGCGTGTGTGTGTGTGTGTGTGTGTGTGTATGTGTTGTATGCACATAGCATAACTATAAAACAATACATCCTACGTCATAATTACGAAGTAATAAAACGCGTGATAATCAAGGACCGATACATTTGTAACAGCAATTTTCTAAAACCGACTAATTTCTAGTTAGTATCTTCCTTTTTCATGGTGCTCGCGGCGAACCTAACATCCTGTACAAAATACATACACCAATAAATAATAAATAACCTACGTTTGAACGATGTCTTGTGTACATGAAGATGCGTAATATAATTAGCTATTTGACGGGTTGAAACTATCTCTCGGGGAACCGAGAAACTCTCGAGAAACTCTTAACCGTGGATCGTTGCACGCCACCAGAGGGAAGCCACATAATTCGAGCGGAGCCGCGTACCATTGTCCGCGCGACGTGCGCGGTTTAGGACACGCTCACGCGGACTTCGGCAAATTTGCCTTAAGAGCGGACGCAGGCTCGCCTTCGTGGTCTCTTGGTAGAACCAGTTTAGATACAACTGTCACCCCGGCCGACAGCCGGGCTCGCGTTAGGACACCGCAGTAGTACCGCTGTCTGTGCTTATTTTACGAGCTGCACTACCGGCTACAGTGGTGGTTCTCTTGCATCGACGGTCACGGAGGGGTTAAGGGTTCTTCCTTCTTGAATTCACTCCGGGGCCCATCAGCATTTCCCTTTGGTATTTGCCCTTCGAATTATTCAGTCGGTCTGGCCCCTCTCACGGCCGAGAGAATCAGAAAGCAAGAATCTTTCGCTGTTGACACAAATCGTAGCTGTCTTAAATAAATAAGGCCGACAGTGTCGCTTTGGCCAATAGCTCCCCCGTTTTAATGTGTGTCGTGAGATGCATACGGTAATATATACACGTCGAATCGCATCCAGGTGCGATCAGTGACGTAATGTAAAGGACATCTCGGTATGATCGCCTCTTGTGGGAGCGAATCGCCGGGATCGGCGATATGATATGTGTGCTGTGGTGGATGTCAGTCCTCAAAACTGATGCACGATAAGAAGCAGTAATACGCGTTGCTATTAACACTCGTGGTAATTTCAAGCGATACCTGTCCCCGGACATTATTATGTAACCTTGTAATCTGTCTTCTCGTTCTTACGGAAATAGATCAGTTTCACGGATTGATCACATAAAAAAAATATCAGATACCATCTAAATAGCGAGTGATGTGTTATATAATACACGAGCGATATCCTCGGATTACCATTCGCTTCTCGATTTTGAGGGTGAAAATCACTTGGCGCCTCGTCCTGCCTCCCTAGTCACGTCCCTGAACGGGACACTGAATACACAACTGTGATTAAATGCAACCATTTCCCCAACACGCGCACCACGGCACATTACCGCTACTGGTACTCGTCTTGCGAGCTTTCACGCTGGCGGTTTCCCGACTGCTGACCGAGTTCGTCCTCTCGCGTTCCGAACTCAACGCGCCGCCGTCCGCATATTTGTCCTTGGACGCGTCCACACTGCCGCTGCGCGAGGTCTTTAGGGATGTCTGGGACGATCGTCTCTTGGAATTGATGTAGACAGACACGCGCCTGTTCTGGTCCTTGCGCGGCGAGTCCTGACCCGAGGACGACGACCGGCTCTCATTCTTGTCTTCCTGCACGTCCGACGTGGTCGTCGTGCTGAGCTTCCTCAGTCTCTTCCGCGCCATTTTCCCCGGTGAATCGGGGGTGTCCGTCGACGTGACGCTGCTCTGTTTCCTCAGTCTTCGTTGCGCTGCCGGCGATAGCGGTCGTTGCTCCTTGACCGTAGCCTTGTCCCTCTTCACGATCCTCTTCCGTCTCTGTCCACTCGGCGAATTCGGCGCGCTCGTCGTCTCCTCGTCCGGGTGCTCGTCCTCATGGTGCGAGTCGCCGTCGATCGACGTCTGTGTCTGCGCCGGTACCTTCGCCGCTACATTGTCATAGTACACCATTCCACCCGCTCTCTGCGGATAAAACTGACCGCGCGACGCCACGAACGGCACGCTCTGATACGGATTCTGATTCTGCAGGTATCGATTCGCGTTCAGCCTCCGCAACGTCGACAGATCGTACGACGTGGCGGAAGGTATCAGGGTGCAAGGGCTCGGTCTCTCGAAGGAGGTCACTTGAATATCCTGCTTGCCGCCCATCAGTTGGTCGCTGGGGATCAGCAGACGATTCTTATCGGACAAGTGAGCGACGTGAAACCTCTCGTCCAAATGCACGCGTCCGAAAGCCGACATACCGTACTGATAAGCGGCACCGTCGTCGTTCACTTGAACGGAGAGCGGCTTGGTGGCGGACGAACTCGGCTCCGTTCGATAGTTCGGGCAGAGCTTGTCGAAGTTCCTCAGGAAGGGGTTCTTGAAGAGACGGTAGTCTATCGACGGCAAGTTGGGGATCTCCGGCGTCTCGGGGCTCGGCGCTTGCTCGGCTCGAGGTATCTTCAGTGTCACGTTCAGGTGACTCTTGTACGGCCCGCTCGTTATGTTATCCAACGTGTTGTCGCTCTTCGCGAGCATCTGGGACTTGCCGTCGATGTGACTTAGTTTGCAGTGCTGCGCCGCGCTTTGACACTCGCTCGAGAGGTCTTGGCAGGATACCGACTTCATCAGCTGACCGCCGCTTCCAGCAACTCTGCTGTACTCCGCGAGCAGCAGGTTGTCCGTGCTCAGGAATGTCCTCGACTCGTCACGCTCCCTCGAGACGTCCTCTCCGTCGCAAGCCACCGCGCCGTTCACGTAGATGTCCGCCGAGCCTTTCTGCCCGGCGAAAGGATTCGTGCGGGAGATCACTGTGGAGGCGGTCTTACCGCTGCTCGAGCTAGTCCCGGTGCCGAAGTGACTCGTGCTGGCGGTCGGCGACTCCTCCTCCTGTTTCTTCAGCTTGCTGGGCAACGGCGCGAAGAAGTGCCTCGGCCTCTCCGGCACGATGGTCTCCCCGGCTTTTCGACTCCCGTCTTTCCTCTCGTCTTGCCCGTCGACGGAGTCCACGCCGACGTTCCAAGCGTTTCTACCGACCGTCTCCTCGGGACTCGACAACGTCGACGCGTCTTGGGTCCTCATCGATTGCTTCGCGTTTTTACGCCTCAGGAAGCTCTGAATATCGGACGACGTGGCGCTCGCCAACGAAGAAGTCATCTTCGAGTCCGGCGTTCCCGTCGCTTGCATCTCCGACGCGCCGGGTGTGACGTTCGTGCCAGAGTAGGCCGACGGATGTTTCAGGGGAACCACGTCGTTCTGCCAACCGACGGGCGGGACGTGGATTCGAGGTAACATCGGCTCGATCGCTTGATCTAGCGATCTAGAGTCCATGCCGACTAACGGGATCAACGGGTCGGACTGTAATCCCGGGCAAGGCGAAGCCAATAACGCGTCCGTAGGTAGCATTAAATCAACCGTATTCGGGAACTCGAACGGACACTCGGTGTAATAACTGGTTCCGCTGAAAGCGCCCGTCGGCTCGTACGTCGCCGGATAAAACGGGATGTTATCGTGGAGCTGCCGGGGGCCGAGAAACGGCGGCGGTAGGTGCCGGCCGTCATCGCTCCTCGGCTCCTCCAACGACGGGGTCGCCTCCTTCCTCTCCTTATCCTTCCGCAGCTCCTCCTCCTCCTCGACGACCGACAGATCGTCGAACTCCACGTGCAGCCGGTGCAGACTGCTGCTCATCTTCTCGAAGGAGATCTTCTGGTTCTCCGCGTTATCTAGCTGCTCCTCCTCGTTAAAGCCCTTGCTCGTCTTCTCGTTACTCCCCTCGTATTCCTCGTGCTCGCCGCCCTCGTCCTCCTCGCAGGAGAAGTCCGACTGCAGGCCGTCATCCTCCTCGGAGCGATCCTGCAATTTCCGACACGTTCCGATCTGTCACCGATTCCAAGTCCTCCGTAAAGTTTGATATTTTGCGGAGAGGTCAAGGCCGATACTTTTATAGTCGGGTGAAACTTTATTCAATAATATATTGACCATTTTTTTCGACGGAAGGAAATCGTCGAAATTAAAACGAAAAAAAAAACAATGTGTCTGACCGTGGGAATATCGGCTTTGAATGTTTTGTAAAGACCCGCATATTGAGAGAAAAAATGTGTAAAAAACAAAAAATATGTATCCAATGAATACTCTAATAACATTAAAAAACGCATAATGTTTCATTAAAAAAAAATTGTTTCTCAGTGTAAAAATGTGTATAAACATGTTGTTATCGAATAAATAAATATTTTTTAATTTTTAGATATTTTCTCTCTCAGTGCGGGAATTTGTTGAACCTAATACAAGGGAGAAGAGATTTTCCTTCTGATTTAATATTTACACGCTCGCGTTTCGGAAATTCCACACGACGTTATACTGAGTATATTGAAGTTAATAATACATGTTCACAGTGTAAAGGCAGAAGAGCTTACAGACCAGATGTCGTGCTCGATAGGTACTTAAACGTCGTGTTGAAGCTTTGCGATGAAATTTCCTCGCGATGCTTACAAAGTGTTAAATGCTTACGAAGCACGTATTCTCGCTCGCACGATCTCGATCGCTCGCGAGAAGAATCGAAGTGCGAATGAAAACTCGGCCGAGCTACTCTACCCACCTCGTACTCTTCGCTTTCGCCGCGGATTTTCTGCCTCTTCAGGATCTCCTCGAGCTTGTCGTACTCGTCTCTGAGACTCCATATCTCCCTACGCAGTTGCTCGTTCTCCCTGCGCAATTTCTTGATGTCGTTCTGACCTAAAAACACGACGGACTAGAGAGAGATCGGCTCGAACCCCGCCCGACCAAGCTCCGTGTCCCTATATCGACGTTTAGGCCGACATCGCGGCGGATTCGTCTCGCGATTCTTCTCGCGGAAATCACTTAATCACCATCCGTTGTAGTGAGGATCAGCAACACACGGTTGCTCGCAACATGCGCGCTGCATCTATCGTAACGATCGATCATTGGTCAACGCGGCAACAATCTCCGCTCGAGAAGCCGGCTGCCTCTAACCCTTCGCCCTTTCGTGCGTCAAGGAGCCGGTGATAAATCACCGGAGCCGGGCCTTCCAATTACTTAACTTCGCGGAGCGCCGTAGAGAGAAAGAGAGAAAGCGCGGGGGAAAGTATGGAGGGAAAGAGAGAAAGAGATACGAATAAACTTCGCCGGCCGTTCGCGCGAATAACGCGTTAAATTCTTTTTCCGCGCAGAACGTGCCTATCCCCGATACCAAGCGTTTGATACTCTTCCTTCTGATGGGAACGCCGTAAAGGCGTAAGGGTGAACGTAGAAATGAGAAGGTACTAGCCATCATATTTCTCAGCTGTGGGATTGAAATATAACGAGTGTTTTGTGTTACACAACAGTATGTTCAATTTCAATTTTACGGGTTATGTTTGTCTTTAACCTTACAGTATCGCGCGCATGATAGATATCATCTATGCGCACTAAAATGCATTGTTCGAAAAATATTAACAATCTCTCTCGCCTTCGTGTATTTGTCAGCTAGAAATTGTTGCTATCCGTTTTAAATAAGATCTCTTATGATTGTTATTTACATATAAATAAATATTGTTAATTTGTAAATCGACTTTTTAATTGAAAATATCAATTTATCAATGGAGGATACTTGTCATCCACTAGAACTAATTGTGTTGCATTTAAGTACGCGACTACTCCATATGGGGAAAATATTGTAATAAAAATTACCACAAAATTTCGTAATCCTGGATCATACAGTCGTACGGAATTATGACTGAAATTATGATGTGTCGCAATTTTTAGTGATGCGCATCATGCGTATATATCACTAAAGAATACAACACACATAATAATTTCTATAATATTCCGGTGTAATCCGGCATTATAAACTTTTGTAATAATTTTTATTGTAATATTTTCTACGTGCAGGGTCAACGTTGTTTGCATCTGACGATGCAAACACGATTAACGCAGACCACTCGGAATTTTTATATTTTCCAGGAAAAATACGGAAAGTTTCCCGAGTTTTTAAGGAGAGAGGAGGATAGAGAGGTAGTACCAAATTTTCTATATCTTTGTTTTCTCTTTTCTGTGTAGGTCAGTATACACGAGAGTTTGGAAATCATTCAGACCGAATGATGTATGCGGGCGCAAGCATCGGCGGTGAAAACGAAGTCGATTGGTGGTTCTTCTTTTTGAGCGTTAGTGATCTTCAACCCACCTAGATGCGAGTTAAGTTAAGTATCTCATCAGTCATCGGTGCGCCTCCTTCCACTTCGGTGATTAATGGGTTTATGCTCGGAGCATGTTTTCCCCGTGCTTGAACTGCAACCCGATCACGGAAGTTTTCAGATAACTGCGCGATCTATACCGTTAAGAGCTTTTTATTACCTGCGGTATGTGCGCGCACGCGCGCGTGATTTACGTTTTTCTTGTCGAAAATCCGGCCGTCTACTGTTTTAAACATCAGGGCTGCTAGAAGGACGCTTCAAATCGGGAAAATGGATAAAATTAAAAAGGCTTTATTTTCTACACGAAAAAAAGATTTGCGGGAGAAATTGCATCTCTCTCTATTTGCCATGACATTTTAAATATGTTTATTCTCAAAAAGGATCAACCGAAAAATGAACCGTCGTTAAACAGTCACAAATTTGTCCGTGACTCGCGCGGTATTAATAATCGCTTCAGCGTTAACATTTCGCGAAATCCGATGCGTTCGCGGATTACCATGCACATCACGCATATAGACTCGGCGATTCCGATCGCGAAAGCCCTTGCCGTTTTTCTCTAATCAGATTTTTGCACAGTACGAAATATTTCGCGCGGCTTATCGGTTTTTGCGACGCAAAAACGCGCACGGGCAAAAGTCGCGTATTATACGAGCGCATACACGTGCGATAACAGCTCGCTTAAGCCTAGCCGGTAAGTGCGCGAATGCGAGTACGCTCGTGTAACAAGAGAAAAGCCGTGTGGTAAATCAAGATTATAAAACCTGGCTTACCAGTCTGAAATTTAAATAAATTAAATCCTTCCGGAGGTTCATAAATTCGGATTTTCCCTGTGGACACCGCCTGCTATTTGGATGTTATTAAAACTTGGGCCATTTATCTTCCGCACGAGCCCCGTTTGAAAGCGATATTTGCTCGAATACACTACAATCGGCCATTGATTTTTTTTTACTCGTCGATGATGGAATAAAGCCGTCCGATAAATTCGTTCATATAAAAACCATCCGACGCAATTTGGACGTATTAACTCGGCAATTCGGCTCGAATGCACCCGCTAATGTTTAGTTTGTAGGAATGTTTCACCGCACAAAAGGAAATCCGTTCGCTGCACCGTGTATTCGCACGGAGTGTCTCATGTCAACCGAAAAATAATTGATCAATTCTCGATATTAAATTCCGGAAATTTTTTAATTACACAATATCGTCGCCCGACGCTCGACGTTTATGAAATATCTTCACGATTGTTTCGCCTTTCATCGAATTTGTCGAAAAATCCACCACGGAAATAATTCCTCGCGGCGTTAGGTCATCTTCTATGCGCACAGTTCGGGAGAGTAATAAAGTTACAGTCGGTCGCACGTTTGAAACGGATCCACGACCGTGCGTGACATTTATGAGCGGCGCGTAAAAAGAAGAAATATCGCGCGAGTTATAGATCTTATATCAAAATATGACGACGAATTTTTCTCGCTTTTTACATACGCGTAGATAAGTTCGCCGGGACGTGTGCACGCATGCGCGCGCAGATATTTTTAGCCGCATGCAGGATACCCTTCAATCAAGCATCAAGTTGAATATTTGCGAGCAGCGGCGAGATGTGACGCGCTGAAAATGCTCTCGGTTGAAGACCACCGGTGTCCATTTTATTTTCGACAGCGAGATGATCGTGACAGCTCTAGTATCGTGTAGAGTTATCACCGTACGTCCTACCAAGCGTAAACATTCGCCGGTGTGGGAGTACTGTTTGCAACGTCGTGATATTTTAATCCCCATGTCAGCTCGACGTAAAATTAATGAAAGCGGCGTTAAGAAGAAAAATGTTGAAAACAAGTGCAGAGCAGTGGAACACGTATCGAAATCGTAGTAGTTTTCTTAACTCTAAGAGTAACACCCAGGATCTTGATCATTGAAATGAATTGAAAGTCTTTCAGACCTTCATAACGAAAAAAATATAAAAAATGTGGTTTTTGCATTATTTTAGTCTTTTAAGAATTACTATATTTATTAACAATTTTTGTTTATTGTCCTTATAAACTGGTTGCCGCCAGGAAATTATTAAACTGATGACACAGTTCAATAAAAAAAAAAAAAACAGAACGAGACCGGTCACTTTTCGTAACTTTTTGAACGTTGAATATGAATCCGGCTTGCAATTGCTCCATCACGTCACAATTTTGACAAATTTGCAGTTGAAGTTGCAAAAAGGATTATTTTCATTTTGATTGCAGTAAAACTTTCCCAGCACGCCACATATTTTAATTATAATATGACAAAATACGTAAAAATAGTCCTTTTTACAACTTTTATTACAGATTTCTCAAATTGTGACGTGATGGAACAGTTTGGAAACCGGATTCGTATTCAGCATCAAACAAAATTATAGGAAATGACTGGTCTCGTTCCAGTGTTCGGGAAAAGTCATTTCTTGTCGAACTGTGTAATAGCAATTGCCATATGGATCCAACTTTTTTTCTATTAGAGAAATAAGAAGTGAGATATAATGTCTTACACAAAACGTGGAAAAGAGAGAAAGCGAAAGGAAACGCGTATGGACCTCACAGACCTAACATGTTACCGTAAAGATTAAAAGCGTAATTCCATTTAGAGGAATGGCGCGCATGCTTGTACTAATTCGCAGATTCGTATTTTCGCGGGAGAAAAGAACGGGGAATAAAGGAAACAAAAATTACACGGGTTAGAAGAGGGAGCGTATTCGAGAGTTCGCGTTTTCCACCGCCGCCGCCGTCATCCTCCTTTCGTTTGCTGTGGGCGTTTTCGCCGCGAAGGTGATCAAAGCAGCTGCGAAATACATATTTGGTTTCGCCAACTCGCCCTCCTTCTCCTATCAGCGGGCCGGAATTTCTTCTGGTTCTTTGAAAAGTAGAAATTGCGTCCGTGCGCCTCCTGACGCGAAAGCGAGCGCAAACGAACTCGGGGGGAAAATATTCGCCCTGGGTTCGCTTTTCACTCTCGCCGCTTTTCTCTCTCCTCCTCCGCCACCGCGACTCGCGTTACTTTGAAGCGCGGCGATCTTCGGCGAATACAAGAAATCTTACGGTGCACACGGCGACCATGTAGCTGGCGACCGATTGATCTCGCGGGAAAAATTTCGCCCGTTTGTTTACACGTTCTGTGATTCGCGCGATCGGTTCTGCTAACGAGTCGATGAGGAGCGAGCGAGAAACGAAGCCCGTCGTCGTTGGAATCTCGAATTCTCGCGATGCGGCGTCGTAATAAGATAAGTGAAAACCCGATGTAAGGAATAGGAAATGAAATGTAATATCGTACGCTGATGTAACGAGAGCATAATTTCGATTGAGAATTTCAGTGGTAGGGGAGGCCGGAGCTAGTTGGCTAATCGATTATTTCTGCTACTCGAGTAAGCGAAAATTTCAAACATTTCGAGGATAATAATGAAATCCCTATTTGCTCGATTCTATAACCTGTTAGAAGACGACGGAAATGATCATTTAATCAACTTACCCCTTTAGCTAACTAGCATCGGTCCCCCTACATTTCTACTCACCCCTTACAATTCTCCCCCCC